ATCGGCTACATGAGTTTTAAAATATCGGCATATCGGATATCGGCCAAAATCACAATATCGTGCATCCCTAATTTTTATTATGTAAAGGGAGAAAGGAAAAAGCAACAAGGATTAGTCCAAAACCATCTGCAGCTCCGTTTGACTTATGTCAAAATAACCAGCCTTAAATAAAATCAAGTTCCAGATCTATCATTTTTTGGAAAAAATGCTTTTTTTTTTTTCTTTTTTTTTTTTTTTCTAAAACAGAGAGACAGGTTGGTGTCTGAATGCCACCAATCTGAGAACTGTCCCTGATGTTTGGTTTCCTGCAGGTCCAACATCGTGGAAATCCTTTATGTGAAAGATTTGGCGCTGGTGGACCCGGAGGACTGCACCCCCATGACGACCATCACCAAGTTCTACAACCACCCGCTGCACTTCGTCTTTAACGACACCAAGCTGGACGCCATGCTGGAGGAGTTCAAGAAAGGTGGGCTCGCCCCGTCGTCTCTCTAACCGTAAACATCTGCGTCACCGTCTCTATTTGTGCTCTACCTGAATGTTCATTTCCTGCACTTTTATTGTCGTTTTGTTTTACTCACTTCAGTCCTCAACATTATAAATAGATATAAAAATGTTTTAACGCCAAAGAGGTTTTCTTTTAGCAAAAGAAAAGCAGGAAGTACATTTTTCTTGTTTTTCTCATCCTATTAAGATTTGTGCTTCTCAGGGGTTTATTATTGAAGTCTGGCGGCTTTAAAATGTCTAAAAAAAATTTCTGATCATTATAGATATTTAGAAACAGTTTTAATAATAAAAAAGACTGTTTATAGATAAACAAATTAATTATGTGTAAATAGAAGACTAGCCCTCTATACTAGGAGCTTATGGAGGGAATTTTGGTCCATTATTTCAACAAGGAATGAAAACGTTTTGTAAAAGGCAAATTTGACTAAAATGTAATCCAGAAATGAAACTTAAAAAAAAAACTTCTTAATAATAATAAAAGAAAGTTTTTAAGAGTAACTTTGCTGTTTTCCTAGAGTTTATTTATTTTTTTTTTTTTTTTTTTAGATTTTAGGTTTGAAAAACATTTTTTTTTTTCTGTTTCTTAGATTGAGTTTGACAAATTGCATTTCACAGATTACAATATAAACTCTCTCTATTGACCAACAAAAAACATTCCTAGTTTCCGTTTAGACCAATAGTGAAGAATCCAATTTGTAAAACTTTTGTAAAATAAAAATTGTTAGTATATTTGTAAAAAAAAAACCCAAAACTTTTTAATCTCAATATTACTTGTATATAAAAAAAAAAAATAAGCAGCTATCTTTTTTTAGGTGTCAGAATTACCTGTAACATCATTTAAGATCAGTTTTTATTTTATTTTGCAAAGACATCAAACAGCAGGGAAATATTTCTTCTATCTCTTATAATAAATCATTTAGCATCAAAAACCATTAAAAACAATGAAATTTGATGGAATTTTAACTAAAGTGAAAAAACAAAATATAACGACTCTTTTAGAGTTAACTGTTTTTTATGTTCATGTTTTTTTAAAGACTTTGAGTCAATCTTTCCATCAGGATCAGAGAAGGAAGTGGCCCAGAGCATCACGGATCCTCTACTGTACTTAACAACAGACATTTATTCATTCATAGTTAGAGTGGAGCTCTTTCATGTTAACGATCAAAGCACACTGCCTCGCCATCAACCCCAAACCAGGAGTCTCAGTCAGCCGCTCGGTGCTCTGGTTGACTTTATGTCAGCTTTAGAGATTAAGTTTAAATTTAAAGAAATTTATGATTAAACAATTTCACCTGTTTTTTTTTCCATTCTCAAAACACATTTGTTGCATTTAATGGATCAGTTTTTACATTTTAAATGTATTTTAAAGTATATATAAAGATCAGAGCATTCCTCACTGCATTTAATTGTAGACACCACTCTGCTCATTTTAGGTTTCGGGGTTTTGTCTTTAGGATGCACTAGTCTCTGTTTAAGGTTCTTGTTTGGTTTGAAATGTGCTGGATTTCATTGCTGATTTTACAAACACCCAGTTTGTTATCCACAGGTTTAAAGAGAAAAATGCAAATTGAACTGAAATAGGTCCAGCCCTTAGTAATGGGGGTAGTTGAGGTCATTGTTGGCCTGGCTTACAGGAGCAATGTTATGATAGCTTGCTCTGGCGATGAGGTTGGAGGTGATAGTGTGGTTGGTTTTCTTCTCTCTCTTCTTATTCTAACCTCTGATGTTCATGTAGGTAACTCTCACATGGCCATCGTCCAGAAGGTGAACAACGAGGGGGAGGGGGACCCTTTCTACGAGGTGCTGGGACTGGTCACCTTAGAGGACGTCATCGAGGAGGTCATCAAGTCAGAGATCCTGGACGAGTCTGACGGCTACTGTGAGTGTCTGACAGCTCGCTTTTTCTTCTGCTGTATGGAGAGAAATTAGTTCCATTACTATTAAAAGCAAATAATATGTTAAAAAAAAGCCTAATTTGAAGAACTTTTTTTTTCTTTTAAAGGAAACTTCTAAAACCTTCTGAATCACACAAAAGTTTTGAGTTATTAATGATGTGCATGCAAATGTTTGACATTTACTTGACAGTTTGCTGATTTTATTGCTTTTCTTTGCTCTACTTTTTTTCTGAATTCTTATTCCTTCCAAATATTTTTTTAAGATTCTATCTTTTTCTTTTTTCAGATTACATTTTTTTTATATAAAGACAAACTGAAAAAATTAAATCTTAAAACAAAAACAGAATTTTTTTTGGGAAAGATAATATCTGAAAAATGTTTGTAAACACAATAATCAGAGCAAACTTTGAAAAGATAAAAGTAAAATAAAAGTGTTGACAAACAAAAAATCTCAAAGGAACTTAAAAGATATCTAAATAAATTTCAAATAAATGAATAAAATGTTGGAGAATAATATAAAAAAATGAAAGGCAATATATAATATGTAATATTTGGATAAAATCTTAAAAAACAAAACAAAAATAACGTAGAAAAGATTATATCTGAATAAGGTCTAAAAAAGTAAAAATAAAAGCATTTGAAAACATGACATTTGGAAAACAGAATCTAAAAAACGGAATACCGTTAGAATTTAGGTTAAACTTTTGAATACACATTATGAATTGCTCCTCAAAACAATTTTTCTTTAAATTAAGAACTCCCAGTTCTGAAGCTCTTCTTTGCTGTCAATAATATTGGCACAGATTTCTCCCCATACCACCTCTGCATCCCACATGTCAGTTCAAACCTGTTTCTGGTGTCGCCACACAGTGGACAGGAAGGTGAAGCGTCCGATGCCTCCTCTGGAGATCCCTCTGGAGCCGCGCGGCGCACACGAGGAGTTTTCCCTTTTCAAGCCTCCAGAGGGAGAACCCAAGATCCGCACGTCGCCGCAGCTCCTGCTGGCCACGCACCGCTTCCTGTCTAGAGGTCAGTGTGGAAAAAAATCTATAGAGACCATTTTCTGGTTAGAAAGTCACTATGCACATGTGACATGGTTCCTATTTGTAGCTATGAAAATCTCATCAATACAACACTGTGAAAATGACCAATTAAAACTTAGCAGCACAATCTGTCATCTATAAAGCAGACGGAAAAAAAGAAATGACCAAAAATGAGATGAGGTGTAAAAGATTTAGCAGGAGATAAAGACATTTTTAATGCTGCATGTTTGGATCCTTGATGTCATGCTGAGAATCGTCAAACCATCAGCTCGGTACCATGCGGCTTGTGATTGGCCATCAGAGAATTGTTCTGCCCATTTCCAACCAATAAGCTCTGGCATGTTCCATCTTCATTAACTTTAGTGGAGCCAGAGTCCCAGTTATGGTAATAGCACACACCTCCAAATTGTGCAGATGAACAGGCTCTCCAATTGGTTGGAGGAATTTGGGAATTTTTGAGGCTGCAGTTGGAATAAAAAAAGTATCCTAACAAAAAACCTTCTGATCCAAATATCCATTTGCTTTTATTTGGATCGAAACAGATCCTGAGATCACAGAGCATCTGAACGAGTCCGAAGCGATTAAAGGAAAACCTGCACTTGTTCTAAAGGATAGAATGTTCTTTATTGATTAATTTTACTGGTTTTAAAATGGTCTTAAAATCAATTAGAAGTAGAAGTAAATAATCTCAGTAAAAGGAATTGCTACTGTGGTTTGTTCATAATCAGAGCAGCGAAATCCCAGCTTTGAGCTCAATGAAGGAAAAAAATAACTAAAAATGTTCTGCAGAAGCTGACATGAATGATAAAAAAAGACAAAAGTTAACAGGAAATATAATCCTTAAAAAAAAACACTCATTCTGTGGATTGAAATTTGAAAGAAAAAAAAATGCAATCCAGAAATTACTTTTAAAAATCTTTTCATTAAAAAAAGGTTTTCAGTGTAACTTTATTTTAACTTATTATATATTTAAAAAGTGTGCTTTTTGTAGATTGAATTGTACAAATCACATTCTTGTCAAACTGTGTTTTAAACATCACATTTGCATCACTTCAAGCCAAATGCAAATCCTCATGTTCGACCAATAGAAATATTGGTGCTTATGTTCAGCAGACCAATAGAAATGTGGCTTCCTGCGTCAGCCCAGAGGAAAACCCGCCCCCAGACAAGAAGGTTGAATTGAAAAGAAAGCAATTCATAAAACTCAATCTGAAAAGAAAGCTTGAAAAATATTATAAAAAAGATCTGTTATAAATAAAATATGAGAAATCTGTAAAAAAAAGAAGAAGTTAAATAAAAAACAAAATCTGAGAAAAAAGCATCTATAAGTTGTATTTCTGGATTGCCTTTTTTCTACAAATTCACTTTTTCTATGCTCTTTGCTTCTGTTAAAATGAGGAAGTTATGTCCCCTAAAAAAGCCGTTGCGCCTCGGGGGCTTCCTCACAGTCCTTTTCCTGGGAGCAAGTTATTTACTACTCTTAACTCAAACTGGGTAAAACATATAAAAAGGACTATAAAAACAGGAGTAAAAAATAACAGAGTTTATTCCAGATCAGGTCGTTACAGGACAGAGAAAATGCTTGGACCGAGCGTCCGGCGAAGATTGAGCCCCGGACAAGGTCATCTCCTGCTTCTTTTTTTGGATGCTTAGCTGTCCGTATCAGAAACTGACACGCCATCAATGCCCTGACCTGTATGCAGCTTGCTTCTATGCCTCAGGGTTACAGATAGCTCTCCTCTAATCAGACCGGCTCCAAGATGTGCCCATATCCTGTGTATTCTTAAAGACACGAAGGCTGTCCCGATTAGATGACCTCCGTACACACAGTGACATCCACAATGTGAAAGAAGGCCTTCTACTCCATCTAATCTGGCTAACAGAATAACAATGCACATGATGTATAAATAATAAACCTAACACTTCTAACAATAATGGGACAAAATTGCCTCCATAGAAATGGAGGTAAACCCACTGAAGTTCTCTGCTTCTGTTTCCACCTTCAGAAGTGGAGCACTTCAGTCCGGCTCGAGTCTCAGAGAAGGTGCTGTTCCACCTGCTCCGCCACCCCAGCGTCAACCAGGAGGTCCCCTTCGACCACAGCAACCGGCTGAGCCCCAGCCACTACCTGTACACCCGCAACCACCCGGTGGACTACTTCATCCTCCTGCTGCAGGTAGGAAGCATCAGCAGGCTACTTTATTCGGTCTGAAAACCAGTGGGAACATGAGGGGCAGATCTTTCAGTTCTATGTCATTATTTAGCCAACTGGAGGTTCCTTTACTCTACAACAGTTCCTTTTTAATTTTGCCTGAGAAAACCAAGCTGGAGACATTTATTCATTCATTTTCATTTTAAGCAATTGGCATAAAATAAAAATAACTTTTTTATCATTCCAGCAGCCTTGTTGAGTCTCGCTGAAGGATTTCCATTTGTTTTTCAGGGCCGCGTCGAGGTGGAAATTGGCAAAGAGGGCCTTAAGTTTGAGAACGGGGCTTTTACTTACTACGGCGTGTCTGCTCTGACGCTGCCCTCTTCAGGTGAGATGTCGTCACTACAACTCAGATGCAAGCCAGTTCTTTATATAAAACCTTATTGCTATAAAACCTATTGCTCTCTGTCTTCAGCCCTGGGAGCAGCAGGGCCACTGCATTGCAGTGGAAAAGTTGTAGTTTTTCAGGGTTTAATAATAATAATAATGAATTTTATTTGTAACGCACTTTACATTTTAATTCAAATCTCAAAGTGCTACAGTTCATAAAGGGAAAATTAAAACAAAGGTTAAAAGACCATAAGATTAAAACAGAGTAAAAAACAATCATTAAAATCAATACAGTTGAAGGCATACGTAGCCTATTATAAAATCTAAAAATCAGCAATTGAAAGCATTTCTAAAAGGAAAGTTTTCAATCCTTTCTTAAAACAGTCCACCGTCTGTGGGGCCCTAAGGTGGTCTGGGAGGGGTTTCCACAGACAGGGAGCTGCGGCTTCAAAGTCCCTGTCGCCCATTGTTTTTAGCCGTTTTTTTTTCTGTGTGTCATTAAAGTCGTAGGGAAATCATATTTCAATGTCAAACCATTCTGGCTTGAAAATGTTTATAAATGTGCTCTTAATTAGACCGTTTTTTTCCCCGTTATCTTCTGCAGGCCAGTTAGTTATACGTCAGCTTCAGTGATGGGCAGTAGCGCCGCTACATGTAGCGAAGCTATTAGTTTAACTACATTTTCCAGTAGCTTGACCGT